TCATGCATATCATGCATGATCTTACGGATACCTCCACACTTCTGGTTGCCCTGATTAAATGGAGAAAGGTTAGGGGCACGGGTCATCTAAAGAAGAGTGAGGTGCCCCTCAGGACGGTGGCTTCTGTGGATAAGAGATGCATGGTCCCATTCCCAGCTGCACTCTCCCCCAGGGCAAGCATTGAGACCCGGAAAAGGGATCTAGAATAACTCTGTAAGGTCCCCCTCACAGTTACTTCATTCACTTGCAAGCGCTTAGAATTCAGCACAGTTGACTTTCATCCCATAAGCTAAAAGAACATAACAGCAGAGAATGGCCACTCACAGTCCCCTGTGGTTCACATCCATGATATGACATCAGTGTAGAACAGCATCCGAACTCAGGAGTAGCAAATGCATAATTCACTGTGTAAAACAAGGAGGGTTCTAATGCAATTCCCAGATGTTCCAGAAAACCACAATGACATAGAAATGGAGCTGCCAGCAGCACCGGCTGTGACATTCATGGGACCCCATGCAAAGCAAATACGCCAGGCCCCTTGCTAAAAAGTCCTTTAGAATTTCATGTCAGCAAAAGCAGAGAACAGAACCAAGCAGGGGCCCCTTCCAAGCACGGGGGCCCAGGGGCCGTGCACATCCCTGCTCCGGAAGCTTGTCCTGTCACGTGTGCTCTCAGCTGCTCAGGTAATGAGATGAACCAAAATGTTCATTCTGTGTTGTGCCTGGGAGCAAAGGTTCTTCTGTATAAAGATACCACCGAAGTGACTGGGCCTTTTTCACTCCCTTGGTTACCTGTACACTACTGGCTGGGTAGTGTTTTTTGTATGTTTTTGAGTTAGGGTTTCACTCTGTCACCCAGACTGGAGGGCAGTGACATGATCATGACAATCACAGCATTGACCTCCTGGGCTCAGGCGATCTTTCCATCTCAGCATCCTGAGTAGCCAGGACTACAGGTGTGTGCCACCACGCCTGGCTAATTTTAATTTAATTTTTAAATTTTATTCTACTTTTTAGTACAGACATAGACTCGCTACATTGCCCAAGCTGATCTCAAACTCCTCGGCTCAAACAATTCACCTGTCTCGTCCTCCCAAGGTGTTGGGATGACAGGCATGAACCACCATGCTCAGCCTGGGTGGTTAGAGTTTTCAGGGCTCATATCTAAAAGAGACAAGAGAAAAAAAAAGCAAAAGCAGCTGCTTCCTCCTTTGGGTTAATGAATGTGTTTCTGAAGGAGCAGTTTTGCTGATAGGTTTGTAAGGAGTCTCTCTCTCTCTCTCTCTCTCTCTCTCTCTCTCTCTCTCTCTCTCTCTCTCTCTCCCTCTTTCACACACATACACACACACACACACACACAGACCAGACACAGAACCTTCCAATTATCAAGTGGACGCAGGCTCCATTTGTACAGATTCCTAGGCAGATAAAACAAAGCATTTGATCACGATACACTTCACCCAAACTCGCAGCCTGCATTCCTAGAAGAACACTGAAAAGACAAGAAAAGTATCTATCTGCCGTCTGGAAAGTATTCCTCTAGTACCCTCCCCTGCTGTCCAGAAAGGTCTGTTAAAAGTCAAAATGAATGACATGAAGAGTCACTCTGTTTAGATAAGCTGCGAAACATAAGGGAAATAAATAGTTGTGTGATTTAGAATTCATGCTTCAAAAGCAAGCGATAAAAGTGCCCAAATCATACTGAAAGGCAAACGAAGACGAGGGAGCAGCAGGAGAGCTGTGCATAGCACCAACGCAGGCAGGAGCCCCCTCGAGCTGCAGGAGCTGTTTGCCTCCCTCCTCTTGGAGAAGCAGCTCCAAATTGCTGGCACCCATCACCTCCCCATGATGCTCCTGCTGGCTGAAGCCATGCAGACATTTTAAGATCATCTTCCTCCAGCGAGGAGTCTCCCAGACTTCCATCCCCCTGCCCCCTGCGACGATTTATGACTTTGTGGGGGGATTGCATCCGGACCGGAATCCCACGGCTCGACAGCGATCCATCTGTGGGAGCCTGGACGCTGCACAGCAGGCCTCTGGGTGCCGTGGAGGCGGCTGGACTCTAACAAGGTCAGCACATTTCCCTCCCCATTGAAGTTCAAAGTGAGAAGGCTGCGGATTAAGAAGTTTTAAAGGCTCCACTCCCCAATCCTTTGGGTCCCTCCTTCATGTTAAGCGTGAAATACTGAATCGCACCCCACTGCACCCTAGCCAGCCAGGGCAGCACTTGTGCAGTTACTTTGGCTTTAAGAGGCTGCTTAGAACAGAGCCAGGGAGCACCCGCCACTAAGACAGGGGCACGGGAGCCTTGTAGAGAGTCTCGGGAGAAAAGTACAGGCCTTCATCCCCAGAAACATGGGAACTTGAGCTTTCTGCTCACTAAACAAGGAACGGAACACTGTCAGCAGCATCCTAGACAAGAGGGAGATCGATCTTCCATTTCAGAGGAAAAGCAAAGGAACATTGACAATGAAAATTGATGTTCCCAACAGGATTGCTAAAATAAAATCACGCAATAATGTAACAGCCTACGCGTGCTAATACTTGTCATGCAGGTTCGTTAATCTGTGTTTTGTCATTGATAGTTTTGCTTCGCAGACTAAATAAATAACAGTGAGTTTGTTTCTGTTTTTATAGCAACAATAAAAACAGCCAAGATTTAGTAAGCGCTATCTCATGGGATAGTTTTTATGTACAATCCTTGCCTTACCCCAGGAGACAGGGCCTATTACTACCCAGATCACATCCAAAGTAGGGAAGGTGGGGCTGAGCCCCACGGGGGGCAAGAAGCCTTGGTGGCTGGAACGCTTCACCAAGTGCATGAGTGTCATGGAGCTCATGCACCAAGTGCAAGATCATTTTCCTTAACAGAAACATGAGACTGATGCTATCCTAAATCATCCACCTAAAGCCTAGTGACTTCTATCTTACCTAGCTCTGCCCTTAACAGAAACATGAGTGTCATGGAACAGGCCAGGGCAGTCAATGCGTCCTCTTTCTCTTTCTGGCCCATGAACATAATCCATGCTCACTAAGCCACCCTCATTCAAAGGACTCAGAGGCACAGAGTTGTGGAATGGGGGCCTGGGAGATCTTGTTTCATCCATAAGACAGAAAGCCCCCTTGTGATCAGTCCTCTGTTGCTTGCTGGGCACACACTAGACATGAAGAGACCCACTCAGTCCTTCTTAAGAATCTCCCAGCCAGAAAAGACTGGCGTTGGGTTCACAGTGAGGCCTTTGCATGGTCTCAATGTTTTCTCTTTCAGAGGACAATGCAACATCCTAAAATATGAGATAAATACATCAGAGCTAGGTAAGATAGAAGTCACTAGGCTTTAGGTGGATGATTTGGGATAGTCTCAGTCTCATGTTTCTGTTAAGGAAATTGAATGACTGCATTGTGGTCTCACTTGGGCAGGGGCATTTTGACACATTTAAAATGAAGCTAGACAACACAGAAGCAGAAAGCCACCAAGAGTGACACTGAACAGGTGGCAACGTAGCCTTCTGTTGAGCTTATTCTGCCTAAGATTTGGTTAAGAGAAGTCTGGGTGACATTGAGAACAGGAGACCCCAGGAGGCAGAGAGCGTCTTTCTGCTGTGTTTCCCTCGCAGTGAGTCTCTGAGGTGGATGGATCTGGAGGCAAAATGGAGTAGGCAGAATGGAGGGGAAAAAACACTGCCCACCAACAAACAGATTGCAATGACAGGAAATCACGATTTAAATGAACCACTCTGCTCACTCCAAGAAGGAAATCAAGCAGCTGCCAGTGAGGCCAGGGCCATCCTGTGGAAAGCAGGCAGCTGCTGCCATCTGCCTTAGTTTCTCTCTGCTCCTTCGGGGCCACCAGCCTCTTCTGTTTCCTGGGTCTGAGTACCATAGTATTTGCAGACTCAAAGGGCCCTATTCAGGGGTGTCCCAACGACCTGTTCATAACGGTATTATGCAATACTTCAAAGAAGACACGGTTGGAAGCTCAGGTGATGGTAACTCCATCCTGGGTGGGGGCAAGTCATCTCGAGCATTCTCTGCAGATGAGCATCATGGAGCAGGCCAGGGCAGTCAGTGCAAGGCTACGCCTGACCCACTAACACGACAAGCCTGAGGAATATCGTTCAACTGCTCGACATTGCCAGTTATCCCAATGGGTAATTAACATTCTGGTGGATTTACTGTCACACACTAATAGTTAGTCCAGTTTCTCCTGCAAGTGAAAGTCACATGTACACATACATACATACATACGTACACACACATTCTTAAACATTTAAATTAGTGGTTTTTTTCCACTTTATGGCATAGGTAGCTAGTTACTTTGAGGCATCATATTTCCTTAACAAACTCAGACGAAGCACAGATGGAAAGAGGAACTCAGATCAGGAAGCAACACTCCCAACTTTCCTACGTGTGAGGCAATGGTTTTAAGTCAAGGACACAGTGATGTCAACATCAACTGTCCTTTCCACCCCATCATCTCACAGATCCTGAGCTCAGGTTTAGAAAATCCTGAAGGCAGCAGTACTGAGGGCAAGGACAGATGACAAAAGCCTCTGGTTTCCTGTGTCTACTTCTCACACCTCCACCTTTTCAGGGTTTCTGGATTCCAATACCTCCCCTCCCCACCCCCAACTTCTGGTAGGTATGTGAATGAGTTCTTCCAAGGCTTCACTCCAACAAGACAGGAGGCTAAGAGAGAACGTGTCACTGTCCCCATGGTGTGTCACCACTCCTGCCAGTCTGCACCTGATTACGGGACGAGTACGAAAAACAGGATGTCCTGACATAACGTCCACTCACAGTCACAAGCTCCAAACCACTTCCTGCCCAGACATACCTTCCAGGTCCCTTGTCCAGGTAGCTCCTGGCCCCTCTGTCTCTTTGCTATTAGGGATGACGTGATGGTGGTCAGCACGTCTCACTCAACTCGGGAGCTCCAGTCCCTCCCGGAGCATGTCTGCAAACTGGGAAACCCACTTAAAGGAACACAGCGCTTCTTACCTGGGGGGACAGGCAGATACTTTGCAAGGTACCAACCCCGTGACAGGTCGAGTCTTGGGACTGCAGAAGGATGTGTTGACTTGAAACTTCAGATCTCGGTAGCAGGCCTCTCTTGTGGTCATCTGCCCTGTAGGAAAGGATGAAATTTAGAATAAAGACTCACAAGCAGGGCACACGAAGAGCAAATACAGACTCTTTGTAAAAAAATCTCAACTGTATTCACATATCTTCACATTACTAAGTGGCCAACTTGATACTCTATTGACCTGTGTTCATGATTTTTAATTAGTGAATTTCATCAATCTAAGATGCCCAACATTTTAATATCCTTGAAGTCCATGTGTCTTGCAATTGATGCCATCACGCATCTCATGAATACACAGATTCTTTTCTACTGTTTCCACAGCTGAGAACATCAGTCATTTTTCAAAAGAAACACTAATATCAAGTATACCTGTTCTAGTTTTCAACTGAGAGATGACAACAGGAAACAATTTGTAATAAATTGGCAAGAAACACAGCCAACAAAATGATAAGCAGTTTCTCACCAGAGAATTCATAAAGCTAAGTATTGCTACAGTCATGATCTGGAAGGAGAACTTTTCACAGTTGTTGACTTGTATCAAATGGAAGTTGGCTTGATTCTCAGCCTCCATATCCATTCCAAGTTCTATTTAAGACTGTGAACATTTCCAAATTGGCTTTTTAGTTAATTATATTTACCCCAAAGGAACTACTAGTTATGTGAGGTACCAGTAAGAGTCAAATTCATAGAGACAGAACGTGGAATGGTGGTTACCAGGGGCTGGAGGCATGATGAATGAGGAGTTAGTGTTTAATGGTACAGAGTTTCATTTTGGGAAGTTGATGGTAGTGGATGGTAGGGATGGTTGTACACTGTGAATGTGTTAATACCACTGAACCAAACACTTGAAAATGGTTAAAATGACCAATTTCACGTGAGGTACATTTTGCCATGATAAAAAAGGAACTATGACTGGATATACATGATGAAAAATGATGTTAAAGAGTTCATTGACTAGTGAGAAAACAAATAACCAAGGTAGTATTGACAAAATAAACACAATTAAGATATATTAAGGTTTTGAAATGGCGTTATCGCTACACTTGGAAATATTGTTGAAGGAATCACGCTGTTTGTGTGAAATGTCCATTCTCAACCCCCTGTAGTCCAAGCCGTGTATTCCCATCACCTAACAGACAACACTGTTTCCTCATCAAGAAATACACCAAAGACATGGTGTCAGAGGAGCGGAACAGCAGGCTGTGGACACAAGACACACATACCTCTAACACCAGTCCCATTGGAAGTCAAACCTTTCCTGACTTAGGGAAAATTGAAAGTCTTAAATATACATCGAAAACAAGTGTGGCATTTTGACACTGCTTTGTCAAAAAGAATAAGGTCATTTGGAAGGGAACGTTACATTCTGAAGAGAATCATTTCTCTTAAGCGCCAAGGTAAGGCAGCTCTCCTGAATTCTAAGGCAGGAACTGAGTGGATCTGAGCACCAAACCACCCCTTTTCCTGCAGATGAATGACCTTTCCAAAAGTACATTTCCTTACACACACACACACACACACACACACACACACACACACTCCTGCTACTCCCAGGTTAAGAATCTCATTTTTCCTTTTTTAAACTCTGGGCTTCCTAACTTTTCCCTTCCAGCCATTTGATGCTGTGGCCCTGCCCCTCGACCTTCTCTGTGTCCTCTGACTGTTCAGGCCTGTCCACTGGTTGCCCTCTCTACCTCTACCTGGAGTGCTGTCCTCCACTGCCATGACCCTGGTCTTCCCCAACAATTCTCATCCCTTTAAATCAGACACACATGCCTTCTTCTCTGAACTTCTAGGGTCGGTGTTTCTCAAACTTGAGTGTATATTGAAACCCCTGGAATGTCGAGCTCCACCTTCCGAGTTTTTGCTGCATTGGGTCTGTGACATGGTCTCAGAATTTGCACTTCTGACAAATACACAAGATACTGCTGATGCTGACATTTCTGGACCCATATACTGAAAGAACCACTGCTCTAGGCAAAATTAAAAGCCATTGTTTTCCTGTTTCAAGTGACCCACGTGTGAAGAGTACACATTGTTCCTAAAGCCCCTGCAATCTCTGGAGTATTGATGCTACTCCAGGAATGGATGCTGAAAGCCCCTAAACATCTCAGGATGGTGCTGCTAACCAGGAAGACCAAGGCATGACTGGAGAGTTGGAGTCACAGTTATGGCCACCTTTCCTGACAAAATGGTACCTATAAGTAACCCCTTTCCCTTTCAAAGCATCCAAGGTGAGGCGATGCATTACAGTGACTCTAATTATGAGGTTTGGTTAACATTTACGTGCCATACATTGGAATCAGTTTCTGGAGAGCAGAGAACATATGTTACACATTTCCACAATTTCAGTAGCATGCAAGATTTAATTTTTTAATCTCACTTATTAAGCAGTTTTCGAGACACTGGTCAACTTTCTTATGTTCAGCAGCTTCTAAACTCAGTCAAGTTAGTAGTGGTTTACCTAATACGTAGCCAGAGAAATAATCATAGTAAGGGTATATTCTTTTCTTTCTATATTACTTAGGATGAACCAAGGCACAGTGTTGATGACACATCCATGTGTAAATGCTGAGATACAATTTGAATCAATGTTTTATGAACCAATTTTTCCACTTGCTGATTAGGAATGAAAGAATACTAAATTAGAAAAAGAAACAAATGTATGTTTAAAACTGTTCTGCAGAGTTAAGTCTAATAATCAAAACTCAATTTAAATGAGGAACATATTGAGAAACTGTACAGTTTTCTAAAACTTGGAAGCTTCCCTAATAAGTGTAGAAGAAAAATTAATATTTCTCTACTTACTTTTCAAGTTTAAAGTCCATTTTTAAATCCCTAAAAATATATGTATGGCTTTTCAGGAAGTGTGATTCTATAAATAATGGCTTCAGTTTGGTTTCCTGTTTTGAAGTTAAGACCATGTAAAATTCAAACCTTCTATTCAAGTCTGAACAAAGAATCATGCCTTCATGATCACCGATGATTCTGAACAACATATTGTCTCTCAACAAACCAAAACAGAAATGTGTTTTGCCTTGCAACACAAACAGAAATTGACCTTATTAACACTTATTTTTCTTTCTTATTGGAGACATTTGTTTGCCTTCACTCTTGAGTTGCCTCCGTGTCCGCTTAGTGGCAGAACTTTTACCTGCTAATTAGAGAAGAGGGAAATTCAGATCTAGTAATTCATGTGATAATTTAGTAAAAATGTATAAAAGCCATTGAAAAACATTGGAGTTTGTCCAATTCATGTGCATGTTTTGACTCTGCTAGTTACTTTCTTTTTTCAAAGCTGTGACTTTAGAAAACTTCTTTTTTTTTCTCCCTAGTGGAACATCACTGGTATTTTAGGCAAAAACATTCTTTGTTGTGTAGCACAGCAGCACATATTGCCAGGCCTTTAGCATCCCTAACTCCTAGTCACTAAGTGTCATGGCATCCTTTTCCAATCATCACAACTAAAATACCTCCCTACGAGGGACAATACAGTATCAGTAGAGAACACTGATAAGCCACATGCAGATACAGTAAGTACGTGATTAGGAAAGAAGGGGGCAATTTAAAGCAGGCCTTTGAAAGTTTTAGCCATCAGGGAAACAGAGCAGACAGAAGGGTGGTTTGTGAGTTCCAAATACTATTTACCTAAGAAAATGACGAAAATGCCACAGAGCAGAATCTGTGGAGTATAGCTAAAGCAACATTCAGACAATTAGTCTTAAATATTTATATTGATAAATAAGTAGAAAGAGAAATAAGCAAACTATCTAATTAGGATGTTAGAATAAAGAACAGCCCAAGGAAGTAGAAAGAGGGAACTGACATAGAAATAGAAGACAATTTACTGAACATAATAACATACAACTTAGTGCACTCCCTCCTTTCATGGTCTCCTTAATGTCACAGAGAACTGAAGTCATGGTGTATTTCCTAACTCTCTTATCTGTGAGGCTTTCAGTTACATCCCACCGATGAGAAACACAAGCAGGAGATTTGGAAGGTGGAAGAGAATGAGAAGTCACATCATCCTGTCTCTGGCAGCGGTAGATATAAGCATGGATTTTGGTTTGCAGTAGTCTTCAGGCAACATCCTGGGAATCATCTGCTCCAGTGCTGGTGTAGCTGTAATTATCACCAGTGATTTCTAGAATTTTCTACCCCTTCCTGGCTTTTAAAAGACCAGAATGTCTCTGAGAGCTACAGATGTCTGTCTCTGATCTTTACTCATTCAATCTATCTGTTTTGTGAACCACTAATTCTCTGTATTAAATAACTTTCTGCTAAAAATACCTACAATGACTTCTGTTTTCCTGGTTAAACTGTAACTGATATGTTGGTAAAAATAAGTAGTAAGCACAAATATGCAAGATGAGAAATGAGAATAAGAAGATATTTACATGAAGAAGAAATAAAACTAATCTAATAGGTACTATTTTCAAACAAATTTTTAAATCCCATGGAAAAAGATGGCTTTCTTAACTAGAACAACTAATTGCAGAAGAAATAAGCAACCAGTATGGTTCAATTACCATACATAACTCAAAAATTTATCAAATATCTAATTTCTTAAAAAAGCAACACATTCAGATAATAAAATTTAAGTAAATTTTGCCAAATGTTAAGAGACAGATAACACTAAAGATATTTAAATTGCTCCAGAAAATAAAAGTTTCTAACATTTAAATAAGTAAATGTAATACAATTTAGTTCACAAAAGAAAACTATATCTCAGTAATACTTAGAAGTATCAATGTAAAAAATACTAAAAAAATCAGGTAGAGACAGAATCAAGTGCCATATTGAAAAAAATTAGCTTAGGAAATGATTCATAGTAGGAATGTAAGGATGGTTCAATATTAGAAAAGGCAATGTATTTCACCATTTAATGAATCAAAGGACAAATATAAATTTCACCATAAACGTATCAAAGTTTAGCAAGCCATAAAGTTGATCTCCATTTCTGAAAAAAAGTTAATGAAATAGACAACAGATGAATATTTACTCTCATCAATATGTGTATATATTTGTGTGTATGTGTA